GCGAAGCCGAAGTTACGTATACACTTATACAAAGCTAACCGTGACTTGATTTCAGAGAGAAACAGTGTTAATAGGGCGTCATAGCCCGACTCACAATCAAGGGAAGGCGGAGATGGTGAAACCATAATATCTTAGGCAACATAAGTGATCAAAGTAAGTAAGAAAATGGTTTTTCGGGGTCAGAAATCTTCGGCAAAAGTTACTGTCATCTCGACCGTCGCGAACGACGATACCCACATTGACCCCACGGCTGGTAACCTGCAAAGGAATTAATTTACAGTGATAGCGCACATGATATAGCACATTCTACCCACCCTAATTCGCCTAACCTCGGCGTTGAAACAGAGTCAAAAAGACCGTAAGCGGGAGAGCGCGCAGAGTCCTACGGGGCTAAACGACCCGTTTACGCATGCTACATTCGCCTAGTCCTCAAAGGATGGGCAATATGTTCGCCTAAACAACGAAAAGCGGTGCGGATTTCATCTGGGTGGTAGTGCCATACAGGCCGAATTTAAAAGGAGCTAATCCCGTAAACTGCCAAAACTTTAAGCCACGATTTTCAGCGCACCATGATATTTGAAAAGCGCGTCAGACTGTTTACATTGAGGAATATGTGCGATGTCATCTGGAAGGAGTTAAGAGTCGGCTTCATGCCCTCTTTCCTCTGTCATACGCCCGGTTGCTTTTTTTTCCAGACGGCCAGCCACTTGGGTGGTATACTGGATGCAGGTGGCTGGCTCGCGTCCGCGCTTGTCCTCGCAAGCCCCATGTTTAGCATTCCACGTGGGTGCATTGGCGGAACAACGCGTGTCGTGCCCTGGTCTAGCCTCTGCGTTGGTCCAAGGAAACATCCGACCGACCCCTGTAGAGAGTGAAGGCATGACTGTTCGACGGTTGTGACAGACGATGCCTGCCTTGTGCCCCTCAGTAGGGTGGGCGCAGAGACGGTGTTATGCGCGTGAGTAAGTTGATAATGATAGTAAACTTGTGTTGATCTATCGTAAACTTCCCTCCTCCCTCCCCCCCTGGGCCAAGCGTCAAGATGCAATCAAGAGGGCCTGAGGTAGGAGAAGGCGTAGGTGGCTGGCACGGCGGAAACCTGCAGCCCGGACTACCACCACACACCCCAGTCCGCAGTGTACACAAACCAGGACTTTAAACCACAAGGGGGGGGGGGGCGGCCCAGATCCCAACTGGCACTGCGTGCGTCTGGACGTGAGCGCATCATCAGACTCCCGATGTTGACGCTTTTTTATGGATGCGCATCCACAAACACCTGCCGGACACCTGTCTGGCCCCTGTGTTGGTCCAACGCACTTACCGCGTGGACTGTTTTAAGGACCATTAGCAAGCGCGCGCACACACAGACACAGACGGAATGTAAAGAGGTCGGAGTTGTCTCGTTAGTTGGTTGTTTCCAACGCCGTGACGTTTAGTGCGCCATAGTAATCTCGTGATGCATCCGATTTGTCGTAGTAAGAAAGGTGTCTAATGTGCTGTGGGACGGAATCCCCAAGGTTGGTCTTAGCCTCTATTCCCTATCTCATGCAGCAGTTGATTGTTCGAGCTTGTCAGTCGTCTGATGCTGGGGTTGAGAACGCTGGCTGACAATACTAGGTTAATCTCTCTACGCGTGCCACGCACGACCTGGTTGCCATTTCATACCTCAGGACACAGTGGGGTACATAAGCCCACTTGTTCTAGAGGCTGATGTTCTGACCAGGTAGTGGGTGATTAGGGCGGGCTTATTGATGGTCTGAAGTACGTGTGCTTGAGAGGGAGCGAAGTGTGACAATGGGGCTTGGACTACGATGTTTTGTGGGAGATTAGGCTGATGTGGTGCCCGAATGTCCGCAGACAGTGCATCCAGTTGAGGATAATGTGGCGGGTATATGCTGCTTATCCTCGTACTGGCTAGTTTATCTCATTGAGATAGATTTGCAGCCGACTGACCAGGCTACTGCACAATATGGCGCTGGCGGTTGTGGTGGACGTTGTGATGGGTGGTAGGGCTTCGGGACTGTTGCCAACAATGATGAGGATAGTCGTGATCGTCGTCGCCGTTGGCGGGTGGCTTGCGGCATTGATGGCGGATGCGACAATGATCTAGGGGTATTGGGAGTTTGCTTGTTGTTGGTGGCGTTGTTTTTTGACGTCGTTGGCGTCTCGGTAGTGACAGTGGAGGTGGAATCCATTTCTAAGACGGGAGGTGGGATGCCTCATTTGTAACGCACTGCATCCGAGGACATCAAAGGAGGCCAATCTGAGCGTGCGAATTACGGAAAACCCCCAGAAACTGTCAGGCAGATGAAAGCGACACAATTTTCAGCCGTATGTTTGGCAAGCTCGTGTAGACTGGCTAACCACAGAACGCAAACCGCCACTTGTGATCGTCTATTCAAAACCGAGAAACCACGCATCGTCTCAGTAATTCAGCGTTTTCTTCTCAGGGACACCGAGATTATTCCGTTGCTGCAACCCGTGTCGGATCAAAAAATGAGTTTCATATGGGTAATTAAGTTGCAAATGTCCCAAGAAACGATAATGCTTGGTAACACGAAAATTCTCTGAACTGACCGCTCCAAACTCAAATTAGAAGCCTGGCAGGAGAAAATCTTCGGCAGTGGAGAACAGGATGAGGACAAAATGGCGTGTCCAACTTATCCGGGGGGGGAAGAATATATGCCATAGTTAATAAGATTAAAATAGAATGTGCAGCTTTGTATCCAGAAGTATGTCTCAGGTAAGATCGCAGTTGGTAGCCAGGCACTGTACGTTGATACTGTTGACGTATTTACCTGTTATCAGTGGATGTGTTTACCTTGTATAGGGAACTGGTTATCAGTAGGTATTCTTCTAGCGCATGAGGTAGGTTAGCCGTTTCGGTCAGGCTATTGGGTTTAGTGAGGGTCATGGTTAGGCGTAGGTTAGGTTTGATGATCAGGATTTGCGTTATAGGGTCTGGCTTTAGTGTTAGGATTAGGGTTTAGGTTTATGATTTTGGTTTGGCTTTAGGGTTGGGTTCCGGCTTCAGGGTTAGGGTTAACGGTCAACGAATAATAGTTAACGATTAAGGTAAGGGTTACGGTCAAGGTTAGGGCTATGGTTAAGGCTAGGGTTAGGGCTAAGTTTAGGGTTACGGTTAGGGCTAGGGTTATGATTAAGGTTAGGGCTAAGCTTAAGGCTAGGGTTAAGGTTAAGTTTAGGGCTAAGGTTAATGTTAATGTTAAGGTAAGGGTTAAGGTTAAGGTTAGGGTTCAGGTCAGGATTAAGGTTAGGGTTAAGGTCAAGGTTAGACTTAAGGTTAGGGTTACGGGTTAAGTTTAAGCTTAGGGTTAAGGTTGAGATTGGGGTTAAGGTGAAGTTTGGGGTTAAGGTTAGGCTGAAGGTTAAGTTTAGGGTTAAGGTTAAGGTTTAGGTTAAGGTTAGGGTTTAGTTTTGCGGTTAGGTTAGGGGTTAGGCTTAGACTTAGTGTTTTCCAAAAAAGTTTTAGAACCTTCGAGTTAGGTTATCCCTATGATGTTTCGTTGGGATTTAGCTATACGTCTTACCTTACTCAAACTTCCCTACACTTTTTTAGTAACTATCTTTTCCCAGAAACTCCAACATTCCTCCACCAGCACTTTCATTTGCCCTACCTATATAACCCCCTTCCCCACCATGCCCGTAAGACAGGGACCTCGCTCTCTGCCTCCCCATTCCTGGCTACCAACTGCGATTTAACCCTGTTTCATTTGGCAAATCGACCTTGAGGGCTACAGTTCATTTGTCATTCTAGCGTTGCAGTGGTATATTGAACTAAAGGCCGATTTTGCAGGCCATTGCACGCTCTTGGTCAAACAAGCAGAGGCCAGTATACTGCTCTTGGTGAACCTCTGCAAAAATAAGGGTCTTTAAAGACCTGCCTTCGTATATCTCCCTGATCTCGACTAACTGGAAGAAGACAAACGGTCTCTCTGATTTTATATCGTAAACTGCCTAATTGAAAGAATGTTCATAGATGAAACACCCGTTCCGCTATACGCTTCCCTGAAATTCCGGACCTGTTATTGACTGTCAGTTGTCCTTTGACTATGACTCGCCTTCCGTTCATATCTCTCAATTCATGCAGGCCTAACCATCTTAAACTTAAACGCAATAAACAGAGACCGTCTGACGCGAGGTTGGGGAATTGTAGTGAAGTCCATGCTGGAATATTTTTCCAAACCTAGGAATCACCTAGCTCCCTTCCCCGAGGAGCCGCGTGGCTGTGGTAGATGATTAAATTTCCAGACTAAAAAAGCATTTTTAGAAATCAGGAGATTTATTGCATGATCTCAGAAAATTAACAGACAAATACAAACCGTTCACGTTCAGAATGAACTCAAAAAGGGTTTTCGTAAAGATCGCTTAGTGCATCAATCGTAGTCGTTCCCTCCATGCCTGATTTTCACGAGCCATCATTCATTGCACCCTATAAGTGAAGAAGGAAGCCATGCCAGCACCTTTTACTTTACGGAAATCGCTGTGTCTTTGTTAGGGTTTAGGATGGTCGATTTGTTTCATTGACGTTTTATTCTCGTTCATATCTCTAACGGTCATACGGCAGGAATTTGTTCAACTTTCTCTTCAATTAAAAAGTACAATAATGTGGAAGACTGCACTATCAAATTTGACACACATAAAAGAACACATTGCGATGCTCGTAATCGAACCCCCCAGACTGAATTTATTCTCCAAAGTATCCATCAGTATACAGCATACTACAATTGAAATGCAAATTAAACGAACATGGAGCTTACGTGAGAGTCATTGTCTTCATAAAATTGATTTGGACAACAGTTTCGAAGGCATTTATAGAAAGAAACTGCTTGAGAAGCCAGCAGCGACTGCCGAACTGGTTTTTTAGTGTTCATGCCTTTAAAATGAATAGACCGCTTTGATTAGCATTGCCATGAACACGCTGAACTGTTAGTTTTTAAAGAACAAGCACAGTTTTAGCAACCGTTTTATACGCTAAACGATTTTGGATTACATGTATGCGTTTCAGTCTTTCGTGTGCAAAACGCGGAGGAGTATTTGCAGTACTATACAAAATATGTGCAAAAATCTCAATGAGTGTGTCCAGTTATTTGGCAGGAACAGATTCTTGATGGCGCACTCACAGAGCGCTACTTCAAAGGTCTGACCGATTCAGAACATACTTGCGGGAAAGGCAACCTGACCCCAATTTTGTTTATATTGTTTGTTGTGGACGACCTGAACTTTTTAATTTCACGATTTCAACAAGCGCACTTTCCGCCTCTCCCGTATTTAGTGTTTTCAGGACTATTTACATTTTAAATGATACAACTTCACAAGGATAAGTCTATGTTTGGGCAAAATCGATGGCTAAAGAGAAAACGCCATTCCACCTTTCATGATCTGCGTTAGAGACAGTTTAGATAAAATCATACCTGAGAGGAGACTGACAATGCTGGCGACCATAAATCCAATCAAGAAGGCAAAAGCTGTCAGCCAGAGGAAGGAGAGATCATAGAAACTAAAGTCTCTGTCCAATGGTTGGGGCTGCGAGGCCGGTGCATGGGTGGTCAAATTAGGCACAAGCGTTGTGATGTTAGGGGTAGGACAAGCGTCCGTTGACAGGGCTCGGCCGGGGATGTCAGCTATCGTGTTTCGAAAGATTCCCCCGATCGACACCCACATGGTTCCAACCACGCTGACGACAAATCCTGCACAGGCACCCTATAAAACATAAACCGCACTTGATTTCTTACCTAAAGCTTTTGTCGGTGCATTTTTCTTATTTTGGCCGGCTGCACAAACCAAAGATATGGTGACACTTAGTTCCCATGTTGGTGAAGCAGCTATTTTATCAGCATACTCTAGATCATTGCAAACGGTATCTACCGATCTGTGTCCGAGTACTTGATCTTGCGAAAACCATGGCAAGATTTACTCCTCCATCTAATCATTTGCAGGTTCAGCTAGTTCATTATATTTCTTTCACAGAAATCAGCATGCTAGGGATAAACCGGCTTTTGTCTCAGGTGTCAATACCACGCCAACTGGGTTACCTGACTGCACATTTCCATCATTATATTGTTGGATTGTCATTAGGATTGTAGGGATTATTTCCTGAACTAGAATATAAATGTGAACAATTAATTTGCATTTCTCACGTCGATTTCTCAATAAGCATTGGTGCATTTGGCGTTCTTGATCCCTGCCATTAAGTGAGAGTAAGCAGTTGCAAATCAGTCCTGATCATCAGTGGTGCCGATAGGGCTAATACCTATGCTTTACAAGTGCGGCCATGTGTAAGCAGTTATATTACAGAAATGCCCTAGTAAACCAGAAGTGCGGTTAATGATCACTGGCATAAACGTCCTGTTCCATAAACAAAAAATGAATTCGCAGATGATAAACCACACTAATCAAACAATTGTTGATGAAGGCAAAGAATATTTTCAAAGTACCAGGGTGGCTTGAATGTTTGTTCGTTCTCAGACAATCGAGTGCCTTCTTACTTAGAGGACGCCTACGTACCCTGGTAATAGCACTCTCATAAATTTCACGTCCGGGTTTCTATACACGAGAGGGTTTTTCTCGAATGATGTATTCCATTACATTCTGAGGAGATTAGAGGTCGAGATTGCAAAACAGAAGTATATGTCGGCAAGAACACGGGAACGCTTGGAGACCAATTGTTAAACTGAACCTCTCGCGACTGTGTCTCACATCCATAGAAAAACACCCTTCTGGACCTTTAACTAGTACCTGTGCTGTCGGCATGGCAAATTATGCAATATCTGCGTACTGCTGACTGTCTCTTAACAGCTTATGAACATTACGTCGAGGTTGACGGATTTCGGCTCCATATTTCCCTCACATGAGACACATTCCTTTCACGGTTATATGCAAACGGTGATAACATAGTAAATCGCATATTCATATGGCAAGAGCACTTAAGTTGTAGTATGACTGATTTGCCAGTGCCTGCACACACGAAACCCACACCAGCGGACGACGACGACGACGGTGGAGTGAACAGTAATCAGTTTATACTGAAGCGTACACGCGCCGCATCCCTCACACTCTCCCCTCCCATCCATCTTGCTGCGCTGACGAGACAGGGTCAAGGCCAGATGTGAATTCGGATGTAGTGACAGACAAAGCTAAACAATCTATATTAAGTGGGCCAACTCATGAAATCTCAACAGAAATTCCGAAATGCGTTTCCGTTTCGAGAAGAGTACTTAAGTAGGGTTGTAAAACCAAACGCCATGCAGCGTAATTCTATAATACTTCCGTTATCTCACGACGCCCGCTTTCGAACAAACTTCTTTCCGGCTGCATCCAGAAACCATTCCTCGTAAAAAATGGCAACTTAATTAGCATGCATTTTTTATTTATTTCCAATGCCCTTAAAAATTCAATTATATTCCATGGAAAACATGCAAAAATATTCATTCTTTTGCTCATTCAATATAAAATTAGGGCTCCTTTCAATGTTACTCTTGAAGGAAGGATATAATTCGATTATTAAAAAGTCTCTGCATTTACCAGTGTGGTTTGTGAAGTGAACAATTTGGCCCAAATCCACTACTTAATTTTAAGGGCATCGAAAATCAGTGAAAAAATGCATGCTAATTAAGCTGCCATTTTTCACGGAGTATGGTTTCTGAATGCAGCCGAAAAGAAGATTTTCGAACTCCGGCGTCCTGAGGTAAGTAAATTATTATAGAATAATGCTGCACGATAATTGGTTTTACAACCCTAGTTAAGTAATCTGCTCGAAAAGGAAACGCATTTCGGAATTTCTGTTGACATATCATGAATTAGCCCACCTACTGTATCTATGCCTGCCACAACTAACCCGGTCCCCAAGTATATGTAGGGCTAGTGTATGAGCGTTTCATATCTCGCATGAGTATGAGTACCATTGTAGACTGACTTTCAGTTCGCCGGTCATCCCAAAATGCTTCCATGTCAAATTACATACTTCTAGGCCATGATGAAGCGCATTATAATGGATTCAGGAGCGTCAAATTTGTTATAGAGAAGAGTGTAAGGCTTGTTGTGGCAACAGATCACAAAACGACTTAATTTCAACAAGTAAAAATACTACCAAAGGCATTCGACTTATCTGCACATCATCCTGCATAAGTCGGTGTTACAGAAATCAGTTAGTATGCAGGGGAGAAATCACAGAACTAACCCAGTTATTGATGAAAGGGAAAAATATTCCCATAGTGTGCAGTAGGAAGATTGGACCTCCGGTGGCTCCGAAAACACTGAGGATTATCCGAATTATGTTGGGCGACGCGTAAATTAAAATTACAGCGATTCCAGTTGTCACAATGCCCAGGACTATAGCTAGTTTGTAGATGTTAAAGAAATCGTTAAGGGCGAATTAGCCAAGGTATATCGGAAAGAAACCCATGTAGACATATGCGGAAATTGTTTTGGCGAGATTTTAAAGAGGTTTTTGTTATATTAACGAAACTATCAAGAAATCGCGCCATCATAATCATTGGAGGCTTTGGAAATCAAAACAACTCTTGCTTGCTCAGAAGACAAAAGTGAGTAAAGCGACCTGGGCAGTAATGCTCATCCTGTAAATTTGGTTATATAGCAAAAAATTCGTACGAACTCAGTCTCGGTGTGGTTTTGAACAAGGCACCGTGCCTATTTTGCAAATCGACGATTATGCGGGTTTATCTTCTAGACCACAGTGCAATTTGTACGATTAGACCCAAATAGCTTTACAAGTGACTTTCAGATTGTCCTTCTGGCTGCCGATATTGATAAAAAGTGATTGAACACAGAAAGTCCAGACGATCTTCGGTTGTCAGAAATGTTCAAGACTCCAACAAGTCTCCAAAGACATTGCATAGAACTCATTTATCATGAGGTTAATGTGCATAATTGGGGCCTCTGCATGCTATTTCGACGACACTTGAAGGCAGAAACACCATGCTTTAAATTTTCACATAGTCCTGAATTAATCACCAGTAATTATTATTAAGCGTCCTTTTCAGAAAGAAGTGTACTTACCATAGATCACGGAACGTAGGTTCTGCCCGACCCTCTCTGCCTCTGAGAAGCAAAATTAACCACACAAACCAAATATTATGTGCAGTGAAGAAATAGAGGTCAGAAAGCCGACGGTACGATCGTCGACTACGATTATGTCCATCATGTGCACCACAACAGGGTGAGCGCAGGGCCGGTGAGTTGCGCGTGAATTAATTCAGCCGCAGTAGACTTTCCCAGCACCTGCCGCACCTTCTCCTCCTCTCCCATCTGGTCCGGACGTCATGACAGAGTCAAGAAGACCGGAGGCAGGAGAGGACGCAGGTGGCTGACACGGCGTAAACCCATACCTGCACTCCTTATGCCACCATCGCCCTCATCAGCTACCGTCTCTGGTGGTGGCCTCAAGCGAGAACCTGAAACAGCACGCCTATATACCTCTCGTTACAACAATCACATCTTCTTCGGAGGCGCTTCCTGGAACCCGACCCCATCGACACGCGCAGCAGTTCAGCCGTCGATTTCAGCGATATCCACCGTGCGCCATACAGAAGGGCGGACGTGAAGTAGTTTTCAGTGGTAGTCGATTTTTCACTGCATCTATTTCACTTTCTTCTCATCGCCGACCTAAACCCAGTGTCAAAAGACGTCAAGAGGGTGGGAGGTAGGATTGGGCGCAAGTGGCTATTGCGGCATGAATCTACATCTATGCGTGCCACCACACCCCTCCCCCTGTGTGACATTTATTCATGGTGGGGCATCCCCGAAAACGCCTACCATGTTCAGATGTGGCCCCCCGTTTGTCCAGTTCATCGACTGCTGGACCCGTCTTAGGACATCGTTGGACAGCCACAGCACAGAATGCACCCATTCGTTCGTGGACCCAACCTATCTGGCCCCATGACTGAACATTCAACTTGCTGCTGCTCTACAAAGGGGAACCTGGATATTCGTTTCTGCTTGAATCACCGTCGTAGGGGAGGGGATTAACTACAGCTTCAGAATTCGCACTTTTAGAACTAAAGAATAAAAATATATTGAAGTGGCTGGAGCAGGTGCCTACCAAGTAGACGAGATATCAATGCCAACCGCTTTGCTCCAATTTCTCTCTCCGATAATTTATTCGTGTATATCGGCAAAAATACATCCTGCATCCCAACAGCGGCCAGACTGTTTAGTCCTGAAGATATCGTACTGTAAACGAAAAAAGTCTCTCATTTTAATAAAAATAACGATAGGCAGAATAAAGCGGTAGAAGGCATGACGTATATGTCCATTGGTTTTGCCGAACTGATAAGTCATTTCTGTTTCTTAATACCAAATATGTTTGGAATTTCAGTTTCATCGATTTTGTATTACATTAACGACATTTGTGCCCACTTGAATTGAGAGGAAGCAATGGATATTATGATACTTTGTTATCCAAATTTCGCCAGTTTGCGCTGAATGCCTGACGACTTGTCAAGGCAAGTTTTCTCCTTGCGAGAACAAAAGGAGGCAGCAGATAACGCTCAGCGATTTCATAAAAGATGTAAATTATCAGAGTCCAGTTTTGACATAAGTACATGCAAAATCGATTTAGAGAAATTAAGTCCGTAAATTATGGTCCTAACGGCATTCGTATTTCTCAAAACACAATTTTGCACACTGCAATTAAGAGAAGGCAGAGAGGTTTTGAAGTATAGACTAAATACCAATAATTTTTTCGGATATTTTCATATCTGTTAGAATAGTTGTTTTTGCTGCAGATGCTAGGCGTTGGCGCAAAAATGGCTCTTCTATTTCGCGCAAGATCCATATGCTTGAGAAGTTAATTTTCGTGCAAATACATACGAAATCGCTTTAGATAGTCGAAGTAGTTTGTTGTAGTTCTTCGACATTTTGATCAAAGGCAATGTTTGTTATTTAGAAGGCCTACTGATATGTATGTTAGTAATCTTACAGTATTGTCTGGTCTTTAAATCTAAGCAGATTACGCTGTTTTTCACATGCAAGTATCTGACTGTTGATTTTTCGTCCTTCCTAGTACACCATTGTCAACCTACGCACCTTATAGTTTCCGCGTTTGCCCTTTCCCAAGTCTTCTGATATATGCGCAGGGAACTTTTAAGTAAGACTGAGTGCTAAACTCAAAACAGATACTTCCCCATGTACATAAGGTTGGCTAAATCATGAAATGTCATCCGAAATTCCGAAATGCGTTTTCGTTCCGAAGAGATTAAACAAATAGGGTTGTAAAACTTATCATCATATGGCATAATTCTATAATAATTCAGTTACCTCGGGATGCCGGCTTTCGAGCGAACGTCTTTCTGGTTGCATTCAAAAACTATACTCTGTAAGAAATGACCACTTATGTAGCCACTGATTTTCCTTGTCCATGCGAATTCAAATATATTTTTTAGAAAATATGCATATAAATATTCATTCTTTTGGTCGTGTAGTAGGTAATTACGTCTTCTTCCAATTTTATACTTGATTAATGGGCATAATTCGTTTTGCAAGAAGTTTCTACTTGTGAGATTTTTTAATACCGTGAAATGGCCGTTCATAAAAGGTCATGTATTTGTATTTACCAATGTGGCTTCAAAATGTTAACAATATGGCTCAAATTCACTGTTAAATTTTGTAAACCCTATATGGTCCCTCTATTAATACCGCACAGAAGTGTGTGGTTTTCCGTACGCGGAAAATATACGGCTTGTAGTTTGGAAACCATGAATGTAAGTGTAACGGCAGGTCGGGTTCAAAATTATTCGGGAATTGGAAAAGTTTTTTTAAAACCGAAGTATACACTTTTTTCGAGTAGATAAATGAAAGACGACGTCATTTTCTACCGAATATCAAAAGGAAAGAATACCTCTATGCATGTATTCCCTAAAATATAATTGGACTTTTAGGGGCCTCGAAAATCAATGAGAAAAGTGCATGCAACGTAAGCAGTCATTTTTACAGTGTGTAGTGTCTACATACAGCCGGAACGAAGTTCGATCGAAAGACGACATCCCGTGGTAACTGAATTATTGTGGAATTATGCAGCACGCTGATTAGCTTTTACAACCGTACTTAATTAATCTTTTTGAAACGAAAACGCATTTCGGAACTTCGGTTGACATTAAATGAGTTAGTCCACCTACTATGTATGTCGAAATGTTGATTGTTTATACTGTCAGACTGCTTCGAAAAGCCTACTTTATGGCTTTTGCCGCAAAATCAAAAGAGTTAATGTGATTGCATGAAGCAAACCTGAACGCCGCCGCAAAAATGACGGACAGAACGAGACCACGAAGGACGGGAATGTTTGCGAAAAGTTTCAATGTGAGGAAGGGAAAGAGCATGTCGTGACGGGCCAGTTCGCCACTCAATTTCGGATCACATCCACGGAAGTAGACGTAGGAAATGAGGCCGACAGCAACGTGCAGGACAGTGAAGAGGATATTGATTGGTATGTTCAGTAGGATTGCTCTTGAAATGATAAAAGAAACGCAAAAATTTTTGCCAGGTGAGATGTTTCAGTTGCGCATAACCATGAAAATCTTTCTTATGTGTGTTCTTTGTGAAAATAAATGTCTTCGGGCCTTTTTCCATCTTACCTCTTTCAAAAGATCGTTAAATCTCTTCCTGGGATTCAACTACAGACAAACACTCCCGACTTTGACCTAACAATTAAACGTTTCCACTTTGTCTGAGGGGGTAACCCCATTCTTTTGCCGCGAAATGTTACTTAAGACGCAAGTGAACGACCAAAAGCGTCTTTCTACTCTGAAAAGAGCGTTGCATGTAAAACAACCAACTAAACTTATCTCCTCTTCTTCATGCCCAGTAAGTCGAACAACAGACTGGCTAATAATTCGCTTTTTTCTATCTTGATTCAACGTTTGCTAAAATACATTCATCATTGTTTGTCTGTGATATGGTACTGACTGAATGAGTATCCGCTCGATAGTCTTCGCAGGATAAAGAAAAGGCAGACACAATTGCAGCACAAGAATTTAACTTGACTGCGGATTTGGATTCTCCCTCAAATCCGCCATTCAAGGCAGTCAGAGGTAAGGTTAATGAAACCACAGGGGCACTGTACTGAGAAGATGCGATTGTCATACAAACACATGCCTACGATAATTAAAACCTCCCGCTTGATAATTTTAACTGGAGGAACTATTACTTGCGCGTCTCTTTTCAAATCGCTTTTAGCTGCACTTTCGTCAGCGGTGTTGAAGAGAAGCCTGATGCTAGCGGATTCCTACTCGAATCCATTATCAGAGACAATAGCAGATATGAATGCACAAGGGGCTGCAGTTTTTACAGGATGAAGTCACCATGCTACCGCATAACTATGAACATTCTCGACTCCCCCCTTAATCCGTGATCGTCACACTTGCTGTGCTAATTGTTTGATGGCCGACATTCGCGTCGTTAATTGCTGCAATGTCATCACGCGCGATGGGTGTTGATGTGATGATTGCTCGACCATGTGACCCACCGACCCTGGAGTTGGGAAAAGTGTTCACTTGTGCGCTCCCGCGTGGCTGCTTACTTCGCCTAGGCGAAGTCTCAGCACTGAGTATGAAAGGGGAAGTTCATTGCACTTGTTAATGGACGGGAAGCCATTAAACCATGATTCAAGTAGCTCCCAACTCACGCGGTTGTCACCTCTAGTGAGCATTTCGGCGTCGTCAAATGTGAATGTGTGGCCGGATCTCGTCGAATAAGCCGCAACTTGAGAGCTGGCGTCATTTCTTCGCACCGCTGCAGTGTGTTCAGCCATTCTCGTTCGGATCTGTTTTCCGGTTTCTCCGACGTATTTGCTTTGTCCGCAACTGCATCAGCTCCCATAAACGACACCAGACAAGAGGTGACAAACGCGTGAGTTGGGAGCTACTTAAATCATGGTTTATCGGCCCACAGTCCATTAACAAGTGGAATGAACTTTCCCTTTCGCACTCGGTGCCGAGACTTCGCCTAGGCGAAGTAAGTAGCCACGCGGGAGCGCACAAGTGAGCACTTTTCCCAACTCCAGGGTCGGTGGGTCACATGGTCGAGCAATCATCACATCAACACCCACCGCACGCGATGAAATTGCAACAATTAACGACGCGAAGTTCAGCCATCAAACAATTAGCACACCAAATGCGACGATCCCGGATGAAGGGGGAGCCATGAATGTTCATAGTTATGCGGTAGTATGGTGACTGCATCCTATAAAAACTGCAGCCCCTTGTGCATTCATATCCGCTGTTGTCTCTGATGATGGATTCGAGTAGGAATCCGAAATGTCATGCTAACAAAGCTTTTGTCCCAGCGACTGTTTCTCCTTCTTCAAGTCTACTTCTTGGGACTCGTCTCTTCGCTTCTACTGGCAATTATCAAGCGTTATTTGTCGCAGAAGAATCCAAGGTTTGTTTACTACTTAGACTGACTTTCTAAAGGAAGGCTAAAATAGATTGCCCATATAGGTAGAAAGGATCAGTTTAAGAGTATTAATTTTTGCCAGCCTTACTTGATCTCTTGTTAAAATCAGTTCACAAAATGTTTGTTTAGAATGTAGGAGGTGACCGAATAACTATCTGTTAAATAATCCTGGGGACTTTAGTTGCGGAATGTTTCATTACACGCAAGTCTTTCAGTTCGTTTTCCCTGTGAAATGGGTAGATAAAACGAAGACTTACGTTTTCGCGGTTTTCAGACTTTTGCAAGAAAGATATCTCTGAACCTGAGCCTGGTTGGAGGCCTGGGTGGAAAGGTATGTTCCGGTGGAACCAATGGTCAAACTCCAAAATGTGTACCGAATAAAAGGGTCCAAACTAAAACTAGAAATGTCCAAAGTTAATAACATACATATGGTAGAAATATGAACCTAGTGATTGGCTTAGTTATCTTCATTTCAGCCCTTAAAATGGTTATATGTGGGTATGTAGCCGCACCTGAATTAAAAAAACTCCAGTCACCTGTAATACGGGACTGGTGGTAATAGGGGTTTGTACAGGTGGAGTCGGGGGACGCACAGGCGACAAGGTCAAGTAGAGGAATGCAAAAGAAAAGCTATTGGGGACGCGCGGTTGCACTTTGAACTAGTTGGGAACTAGTTGCGCTAGCCCCTAACCCTGACTCTAACTCCTAATAATAACCCCTAATCTCAAACCCTAACCCCTAACACCTTTCCCTAAACCCCAAAACCTAACCCTAACATCTCACCATAACCTCTAACCCTAATTCTTAGCCATAACTCCAACAGTATCGTGTCCGTCAGGTGGGCCTACCAAACCACATATTACCCTTAAAATGTCATTATGCACTGGCGAACAATAAAAAGACACAAGCAAAATGCGCCGGCTTTATTTGCGTTAGGTTGTTTCTTGACCCTGATGTCCGTCGTGAGTCTCGTTACCATGCAGCACCCTTACTAACCATGACATAAAAAGGCTGATTCATGATTCTACGGCTATATACTATTACTCTGTCCGTCTACAACCCTGCCTCCATCTCGAATTTCGGTCAGCTTTGACCAAAGGCCTCCGAATTCGTCGACACACGGACGGGATTCAGGAGGCGGAAAACAACCACGAGAGAACCAACACAGTGCCAGCCTGCCCCCGCAGCGTCTCCGGTTCGGGGATGGAATTGGCCAAGCCAGCCATTTCCCCATTTGTCTTGTGGTGAAAGGGAACCTGTGTCTGGCTAACAGTTGTCAGTCCTCCCTACCTGTTCCGCACATTCAAACAACGAATGGACCTACTAGGCGACCTAATGAAGTAGAAGCCGATCCTCAATCAACGGCTCTCTGTGATGAGGTTATATAACATCAATCATTGCGGCTAATCAGCTCGCATCTGTATAAAAACTACACGGACACTGAAGAACTCTGACCCACCGATTTTTACAAGCGTCTTCAAACCTTTTACTGCGCAAGTATCACAGACCGTATACGTTAATTTACGCAAGCATGAAAATCGGACCTACTTTTGGAATTACTTCCCTTATAGACAGCAAGGTTAACAAAAATCAATATTTCGTTTTCCATACCTAATCCCGTCGATTTTTCCATCCATTAAAGCCGTTTGCCACATTATAGCGGGTCCACCTATTGAAATTAGCCCCACGACAAGGATCGTAATCATGCCGATTAGCATAATGATCAGTTGGATGACATCCGTCCAGACAACTCCCTTGATGCCGCCCTACAACGCAGGGATAGATTGCTTTTTTTCAGGACTAAATAGATACGAACAATAGAAGTAATTTTCTGTACTCCCAAAAAACACACTCTCGCATGTTTAGCTTTGGAATGTGTGCATGGCAACTTAACCCCTGCAAACAGCGCGATGAACCAGGGCGCAAGAGCGCGCAGCGGCGTCATCAGTGTGAAGATGGCTGCAGCAAGGGAGAAGCGTACCACGTTTATGTCACCGTACTTTCTTAAAAAAGCCAAGGCCAAAAAGATGCATAATAAGTCTTCATTTAGGTGGGCCAAGCATGAATAGTCTGACTACGCCTGTTGCACACTACTTGTTTCCTAAATCATACGCAAACTAGACCTTTAGGTGGAAGGGGATCGGAGATTTGAAAAGGAGTACAAGAACAGGATGGGTAGAAGGCATCACAGTCAACCCCTCAGTCCAATGCACAGTCGAGTTTGAAGTAGCCGTCTTGTCAACACCCAAGTCATGATATTTAAAGCGCCATAATGGCGACATGTGCGTTAGATTTCATATAGTGAGATACACAACGAATTTCCATGAAAAGCCGTACTCCGGCGTCTCTCGGCGCTCTGTCGTCCGGCTAATGAGGAGCTTGGACGCAATACTTAAGCAGGCCCGTAGGACAAATTTAAGAACCCAAAAACAAGCAGTATTTTCATGCTTTCCCATCATGCTTTTCTGCGGTAAACTAATATATCACCTTCTCTGAAAAGCGTCGTACCAATCGATATAATTCATATGTAGTAAATACTGATAATCAGCTATGACGTGCGGATGTGTTATGATATGTGTAGGAATAACATGCCAGTTTGAACAATTCAGAATGCATCTATAACAGTAGGTGCATTAGGTGGACTAACTCATGAAATGTCAACCGAAATTCCGAAATGTGTTTTTGTTTCGAAAAGATTAACTAAGTAGATTTGGAGAACTAATCACCAGGCAGCATCATTCCATAATAATTCAGTTACCTCAGGATGCCGGCTTTCGAACAAATCTCTTTTCGGCAGCGTGCAAAAGCTACACTCTGTAAAAATGACTACTACAGTAGTATATATTTTTCTAATTGATTTTCGATGCCGCTAAATGTCCAATTATACTTAATAGAAAGCATAAATTAAATATTCATGGTTTTACTCATTCGGTAGAATATTACTACTTCTTCCAATTTTATACTCAACGTATAATTCAATTTTAAAAAATGTTTCTAATTGTGAGATTTTTTAATACCGTCAAATAGCCGTTAATAAAAGGTCATGTCTCTGCATTTATCATTGTGGCTCATGAAGCTAACAACATGGCTCAAACCCACTGCTTAATTTTATGAATCCCACTTAATACCGTATAGAAGCATAGGGTTTTCCGTAGGCAGAAAATATATGGTTTGTTGTTTGGAAGCCCTGAATGTGAGTTCAACGGCATGTCAGGTACGAAATTAGTCGGAATTGCAACAGTTTTTTTAAAACAGAATTATACCCTTTCTTCGAGTCCTAACTTTGAAAAAGACGTAATTTTCTACCGAACGAGTAAAAGAATGTGTGTTCTTGTGCATGTTTTCTATGAAATATAGTTGGACCTTTAGGGACATCGGAAATCAGTGAGAAAAATGTATACTACTGTAGTGTTCATTTTTACAGAATACAGCTTTTGCATGCTGCCGAAAAGAAGTTCGTTCGAAAACCGGCATGATGGGGTAACTGAATTATTATAGAATTATGCTGCTTGGTGATTAGTTATCCAAATCTACTTAATTAATCTTTTCGAAACTAAAACACATTTCGGAATTTCGGTTGAAATTTCATGAAATAGCCCACCTACTGAAGATGCATTGACTGATTATGAGTGCATTTTATCAGTTTATGAGATAGGTCTCAGATAACGTGATGAAAACTCACTTATTTGGGACCCAATCGAATACTGCTCCTAATGCATTTTCCAGTGTACCTACTAAAGAGGGAAATCCCCAAATTTGAGGAAACATTAACAATTCGGGAAACGCTATAGCTACAGGTTGGGTTTTGCAATTCAGAGTTTTTTAAGTCATAAATTCAATTTTCGAAACAAGGATTTGATTTTACCCAAACCCATTGAGCGAAAAGATGAACAATCCCAATATTTTTTGGAAAATGACAGAATGCGCATATGTAGTTATCGAAATAGGTTTCCTCGGTCGTTTCTTTCTTTCGGATCTAAAATAGTCATAAGTGATAAATAACCAAGCCACACCATGCAATTATCGTCCTTTGTCTTACTTGCAAACTCGAAATGTGCTCGTAAATTCTGGCGTGGTTTAGAAGGGCAGGACTGTCTGATTTTTGGTCAGAACTAATAACTTGTCTGTGTACGTACACATTTACCTTTTACTTTTAATTCTACTTTGTCTATCCGGAGAGGTATGCCTATAATGTGTGCTACAATCAAAAGAGACTTTACAGCCGATACTGTGCATCCATAAATTAGGATTTTTATTTCGCATTACCCTTGAAAACCGTGACGTGTGTTTGTTCATGCTGTGTTGCGTATAATTCTTGGCATATCTGGCACAAAGCTGCACATTGTACGTAAGGTTCATCTCGTAACGAAAACACTTAATTGCAAGTGCTAAAGAAGTGTATTTTTACACATCCAGTCGGTAATATATACGAAAGTTATAAATATTCTTACCATCGCGGTATAGAACGTCGTAAGCGCTCCAGTTCCAATAATTGTTAGTAGTAAATTTGCATTCGTCACTGAAAGTTAAAATACAGTCTCAGAAAAGTATTATCATTGATTGAGAAGTCAAAATTGATAGACAATAAATACAATACGTTGGGGTTTCGGTCTACTCTCCAAAATCCGATAATACTTTTTTTAAATTTAGATTTCTATCAGTCGACGCCTCACCTATTGACTGACGAATTGTGCGTGCATGATCGACTAAAATATATATATATATTAAACGCGACAAAGAATATCACAGCCTCATTGGGACAGCTATTTAACCAACGTATGAATAGTCACGTCTGACTGCGAAATGATGGCATCTTGTCAGATTATATGCCGCGAAAGTCATCGGAATTCAAGAAAGTTTCAAGGTAAACGTGAGGAAACCTCAGCATTAGGATAGCTTTTCCTACGGATGAGGTAAATCTATAGATAATGCACTAAACGCTGTACTGTTTGGACTCAGTTATGACGGCGTTTATCAGTAGACTTTTTTACGAATATATTTGGACCTATTTTATCAGCAACCCCATTATTAAGCCTAACTAAAAATAATCCCCTATATATATATATATAGGCATATACAGGTACATTTTAAAGAAAAGTGAGTCCTTTGGAAATTTAACAAACTCTTCTGGAAGCCACCTCAATTACCAACTAAGAAAGTCCTATGAGTTTGTCCTAGCATCTTTTGGAATGAAAAATACTTTAAGATTGATTAGGATTGGCTTTCGGTGTATCAAGCTTCGGCTAGATTTGCGAGGTATTGTCGATTTCGTCTTTGGGAAAAATGTTCACTATTTAAAGGCACAGAGAAGACGACAGAACATACTTGCGCTCAAGGCGGCGGCGGGAGCAAACAAACTTGCTCCTACGTAAAATACCTAGTGGTTTTGAAAAGGCGAAAAGTTGAGAATACATGAAAAGACTGAAAAGTAGATCAAAGCGAGAGTAAGTTACGTTAAATCTCAGCAGCTGTCTTCTAGATAGTTCATTTTGCACAAACCTGAGATTAACAAGGAGAGAGACTTAGCAACTGCCTTTGCATAGCCTCAGAAATCTTTTTCGGGATTAGAACTTGTGTTTTGGGCCTGACGGTACCTTAACCGGCATCATAGCGACGAGAGCACGAATGATTGTATAATAAACCTCTATTACCCTGCAACAGGTTATCGTTTTCATTATAATCACATCAACCGGCACGTCGACCAGTAAACATTTCGAAACATCTTTACCGATGATTCGCAGCTACTAAATCAGACAGCTGTAGGTTGCGTAATCCCAGGCACGTGTAATAAACAAATGGTGGTAATAGGGGTTTTAGGGTCGGATATCACCGTGTAGGGGGGAGCTATGTGCTTGCGGTAACACTTAGAAAATAGATATATTGATGCTGAAATCCTTCTTTTGCGCCTATATATATATATATATATATATATATATATAGATATCAAAGGAAACGAGCGCGTTAACTGAAAATAGATAAAAGGCACGTCTCAATACATTAAAAGGTGCTTGAATAATCCGCCTCCGGCAAATGTCCGACAGCCCAGGGACCAATGAAACGAACAACCAATAGGAAAGAACAAAAGTAAGTGCCAAATATAGTAACTCTGATAGGTGGCGTGATGCGCATGAATATATGAGAAGCTATGGAAGTACACTTTAATGAACAAGGAAAAAACCGCATATCGTAAGTATGGACGTCTGTTTGTATCTTCAAAATAAGTCGACAGACTACTGAGAAATAAAAATTTAGGGAAGACGACTATTTATGTGCAAAGGTTATGTACAATAATAAAATGCATTTATAAGCAGAATGCGTAAAAATGTTTGTTTATTTCCATCTAAAACATGGAACATCAGCCCCAGGTCGCAGAAACGTCGAATAATCGGAGCTTGATTTTCTGATCAAAGCGGGGGGAATAACCGAAGACATAAACTCGTAGAAGGTGGTAGAATACTGCCAGGAAAGGGCACTGTTATCTAGCGGGGCAAAATGTTAATTAGTTAGGCTGCATACCGACAGTGTCGGCCTCTGTCGAAGGAGAAAAGTCCTGGGGGCTCCGATGTCAGCTCAGATAATTTGGGCCCACGTAGACGTGGTCTAATATTGTCTGTGGCTTGGCTTAGGCAGCGTAGGATTGAAGCAAGCGTGGAAAACATTTTTTTCATGCATTGCGAAAGTATATCCGGTGCGACAGCTTCCCGGCTATGGAACCTGAATAATGACCCCTTCTTGGATTTAATTTAACAACCATTTATAAGTAAATTTTTGTTTGTAAACACGACGAAATTTAACTATCCTATTACAGGGTGTGGAAGGGACTACGCACATGTATGCTTGAAGGAGTAAGCAATCCATGGAGAAACCGTCTGGAGATATCATGGAAGTTGAGCGTCTGTGTCCTAACCGATCTAAAGTAAGCCACAACGCAATCAACGACCCATACAGCATGCGTTGTATTGTGAGTATCGAGATGGCGCAAGAAGGCTAGGCTAGTATTTGCGCAGAAGTAAATAAGTCATAGCCTTCAAGTCCGACAACAGACATTGTTTGGAGATGACGTGGAAGCAGAGTGGTTGTGATCTAGCTGAGACTAAACAAACCAGAAAGTAGCCGACGATCCTTATAACATGAGCTGTACGGCGATTACCGACAAGTCAAGAATGCATAGCCACCTTTTGAAAGAAACGGATTTCGGGGAGGGGGGAGCGAAAGCCGAATGCTGCTTCGTGCCAGATAATATATCGCTAAAAAATCGCACTGGAACGACTCGGCTCACGCGGTGACATCAGTGTGCTAGGCAAAACTTAATGTGCAACTTCCTGTGGCTATAAGTCGATAAACTAAACAGGGCTTACTTAAACGAATATAGTAGTTAGATATGCATATAAAAGCTAGTGGGGTTACACAGCCTATGCTACCCAAAGTCGTGCCTAATTCTAAATGTACAGGAAAGCTAACATGCTCTGTACGAGAGTAACTTTTAAAGTGAAGGCAGATTTGGTTACCAAGTAATCCCCAACTCACCATCTGTAAAATAAAAGTGATAGTAGCCAGTAACTTGACACCTCCACCGAAACGCATTGCAAAGTACTAAAAGGAGAAATTTAAGAGCACTCAAGCCTCAAGATTACCTGATTGATGCTCAATAAATTCAGTTTGTAGAGAACAGGCATGTAGATCTCCGACACAATAGGAAACAGCACTAAATAGGAAACGGAGTTTGCCAGCACTGGAAAGCCGTAAAGGTAGATTTCTAAATGATTGCCCATCAGGGTCGCCGCCGAGAGGAAGCTGGCGGCCGTGCTGGCCATAACTGGCAGGACGCCCAACTGGCGGTTGGCCAGAAAAATCTCCTGTGCGGTCTGCGTCCTCACTTCTTTGACTGGTCGTCCCAGGCATCGGTCAACAGTATTAGTAATCTGCGAGGACCATCGGAAGTAGAGACCGACTAGGGCGTAGGCAAACAATGAAAGCGCCAAGATGAAGTAATCGGACCAGTGAAGTGTCACATCCATTGCGAATGTCAGCGTCTTAGAGAATACTGGCAAAAATATAGTTAGACAATCATATTTATACGCAAACGGGGCTCTTTCCTATTGGGTGAAGTGGAGTGGCACACCGTGCCGCTGGAGTAAATGCCTTGCTTCACGATCGTGACGCACGCCTCACTTTCTTACGATTAGGCCACATAGCGTCCAACCCTATTAAGGTGATTCGGCGCAGAAGCGTTCATCACGAAGTAGCTTTCTGATTCCGCATCAGAATATCTCAGGCAAACTCCCTGGCTGTTGTTTGAATGCGCAGCCCACTGTGACCGATGCGGTCCGTTCAAATTTAGTCGTCTTAATAATTTCATTGCATATGAACTAAGTAACCCCCAGCATTATCTTGAATTATGCGTTCCATAATTTACAAAACGTCGAGGAAATTTACAGCGTAATTGCGATATAAACAATAATGAACAAGCCAAGTGCACAAACCAAACATCTGACATATTGTTGATTCAGCTTGAAGACTGTGGTATTTTTCGGCAGGCTGAGGCTGATATATGTTTTGCCTAGAAATAATTAGCAGAAACAGGGCGTCGCGCATCCATTTTGCATGGAAATGTTGCCCAAAATGAGTCAAGTAGATAATTAATCATAAAACCCATCTGTTCTTGATCCGTGGTCATACCCATTTAGCAAAATACGCCTCGGATGGAATGCCGGTGTCAGTGATTCATTTTCAAGTTATTTCACTCATTAAAATAGTCGCATCCTAATTCAGAATCCAACACTAACCCTTACCTAACCTTAACCATAGCTTTGGTCTGTAAACCTGTCCTCAACAATTAATCTAACCATAAGTCTATCCTTAGCGCAAACCCTGCTTTATATTGAAGTCTGACTATTATTTTTGTTTAAACCCCGGCCTTGACAGTGACCCAAACCTTAACCCTAATCCCTGCACAGTACGGGGGTTTTCGTATATTTGGGTCTTTGTCAATCAGCCGCTCGGCGCGAATCATCTCTTTTATAGGCAAAGAAAGATCCTAGGCGGAGGTGTAAGCAGCTGGTTTCTTTGTCGTTTAGAGTCTTGGATCTTCATGAGAGTGTCTAAGAACAATGGACAGACGGATACACGTGCGATCAACAAATGCGGCAAACATGAAACCGGTTTCCGCGCCAAGGGTTCGCTGCATTCCAGCTGATCAGGAAGGGGTAACAGATAAATACCTCATACTGGAGCAAAATTTTCAAAATTGTCAGCCAACGGTATTCATGACTCATCTTTGAAGCCAATTGAATGACAGGCCTCTTTCGCACGAAGGGAGTGGACAAGGATTTAGTCCAACCATGTCTTTTGGTTTATTTTTCCCAAGTACGTAGCAGAAGAGAGTGTATAGTACATTGAACCGAACGAATGAAAAAAGCGACGGGAAGTTATGGGCGAACATAATCCCAAAGGCTCATTTACGTCGTTATCGCCATATATGCTTGCCCAAAACAAACTTTCAGATCAGTGGACACATTGGTTTATTGGAAGACTGAAAATGTATGGGTTATTCCGCAATACAAGCAGACCATGAGGCTTCTCGAAAATGGAGTCGTATCAGCGGCTCTGGCGAATAGACCTGCCGAGTCGACGTAAAACAACATTGACTTTGTTCTACCGGAGTGACTACATGCATATGCAAACTTGTTACGTTTTAAAATAACATGAAAAAAGAATGCAAAAGCATTTTGGACCCTTCATAACAGTCAATCGTCGTAATTTGACTGCCTTAGGCCTCCATCTGAACTTGTGGAAAGGCGCGGAGAAACCTCCAGACATTTGAAACGTGTATACAAACAGCCAGGTCTGGCATCTAGCTTGTGCACATTGAAGAGGACGATGGTATAAAATATCATACAGCGGCTGTGGTGCGCCTAACGTGGATATCTGCGCAATCTGCATACAAGAACGCCGCCTATCCGTAAGCGGACGTGACCAGTTTTTCCACGCATCAGGCTCGCAGGGAATGTATTCTGCTGACCGTCCTTCAAAATATCCCTGATTTCCGTAAGGACATGTAAACCGACCCAATGAACCTTAATACATACGTTGATTGAAATGTCACACCTGGATTTTAGACAGACGAAAACACCAACCAGACTTTAACGTGGTAACTTAAAACATCATATGCATATTAAACAGCACGCTTTCAAAGAACGGAATCTTCTGTTAATACAATAACGTTTGGTGTTTGTTGACAACGAACTGAGAAACCAGTAATACAAAATTTCATAAGTAAATTTGTTCTTTTCCTAAATAAATGGAAAATTTTTTGGGATGCCTAGTTTTCATTGCATATGTGTGCATCTACATACAAATATACACAGGAAGAAATATCAACATAAACTCCGGTGGATTGAAATGACCACTTTTTCGACAGCCAGCTATAACCACCATCATGGTTGCGTGACCTGGAATTCGATTCCAGATTCCTTAGTCGCCGTGTTTGTAAGACAAACTGTCCATAATATTCAGGTCTG